CACGAAGACGGCTCGGTCCGGTTCTGGGACGCCTCCGGAGTATCCCTGAAGCCATTGTACAAGCTCGGCACGGCCAACATTTTCCAGACGGACTGCGAGCACAACGACAGCTTGAACCAGTCCTGTGAGGAGGAGTGGCCGCCCTTCCGAAAGGTAGGTTGCCTCCTCGTCTCACGTTCCAGGCTCCGGCGCGGGAGGGGGGGTTCTCTGCTGTAAGGAAGTCCTTTGACGCCTCCGGAGTATCCCTGAAGCCATTGTACAAGCTCGGCACGGCCAACATTTTCCAGACGGACTGCGAGCACAACGACAGCTTGAACCAGTCCTGTGAGGAGGAGTGGCCGCCCTTCCGAAAGGTAGGTTGCCTCCTCGTCTCACGTTCCAGGCTCCGGCGCGGGAGGGGGGGTTCTCTGCTGTAAGGAAGTCCTTTCGGTTTGGGCATTTATTACATTGGAATCCCACCTGGCCTCCAAGTGGGCTGTTTTTACGGCTGCGCAAATGTTCGTCTTAGAATTTCAGATCTGGAAGAGGGACCGTATGGATCATCAGAGTCCAGCCCATGTCAAGGAGCCCCCCAGGGGGTGGGTGCAGAGAGAGAGAGAATCAAACTCCTTCTGGCTCTGCGGTCAAACCCCTAACCCTCTGAGCGGTCGAGTAGATGCCTCTGTTTCTCGCCTTTTTCTGCTGTGGTTCCACCTCCTTGCAACCTTGACCCTGGGGTACACCCAGTCCTAGCCACGGGACTTTGGCATCAGCCTCCATGGCCTGAAAGGGTGGCCTCCCTCTTCGGTTCTTGTATGAGACAGGAGGTGGTGTGTGCATGAGGAGGAAACCTTTCCGACGTCTGCCCGCATGCTGTCAGGAGTGTGCAGGAAGTGCAAATGGAGGTTTATTTTCTTTTTGAGAAAAAATATTATCATATTTGCACACGTCTGAGCCATGGGTTATGCCTGAAGGGGCCAGGTGGAGAGAGTGCACATGGGTTACATACAGCCGTCTGTGGCCCCTGCAGCCTAAACGGATGAATTGGCTAAGGATGCAATTGTGATTTTTAAGACAAACCAACTCAATCAAAAACCCTGACGTATGTGTGTGTTTTTTTTAATTCTCGGAAGACTGTGAATCTGGTTTCTGTAAACCTCTGAACATCTCCTTCATCCAGGTTGGCTGCTTCGACCCTTATAGTGACGACCCCAGGCTGGGCATCCAGAAGATCGCGCTCTGCAAATATTCCGCGAAGATGGTGGTGGCTGGCACAGCCGGGCAGGTAACAACGCCGATGCCCCCCTTGAAGCAAGGCCTGTTTGCTGTGTGTCCGCTGTCCTTCTTCCTCAGCTGCTAGACCCAAACCTTGAAGGCTGTTGAACTTCAGCAGATCAAGCAAGGACCCTTTCGGGTTCAACGGCATCCTTCGTGGCACCTTGCCCATTTTCCTTCTGCATGCCACAAAAGGTCCCTCCGGTTTTTTCAGAGGCTGGCAGGGGAATTCTGAGCGTTATAGTTTAAAACAAACAAACAAACACCCTAAGTTTCTGGCCCTTTGGTCAGGCTGCACAAACTTTTACTTCCCAGTAAGAAGCTCCTTTCCTTCTTTCTCTAAAAATGGGCTCTTCCTTCCTTCCTTCCTTCCCATTGGGGTAGGTGCTGGTGACGGAGCTGAGCGACGAGACGTCGGAGCACGCGATCAACGTGGCCGTGCTGGACCTCCTCCAGGACCGCGAGGGCTTCACCTGGAAGGGCCACGACCGGCTGCCTCCCAAGAACGGCTCGCTGACTTTCGCCCCCGGCTTCCAACCCAGCGCCCTGGTGCAGTGCATGCCCCCTGCCGCCGTCACGGCCGTCACCCTCCACTCGGAGTGGAACCTGGTGGCGTTCGGGACCAGCCATGGGTTCGGGCTCTACGATTACTATCGCAGGAATCCTGTGCTGGCCAGGTGGGTCGGGACGGAAGGAAGTGGACGGGACCTGCCAGGCGTAGGTTTCCTGAATCCTTCCGTGGATTTTTAACTGCCTTGTTGCTTTCTGGGAGTTGTAGTCCCATTGCCCATTAGGCTCTTATGGAGAGCACCTCCCAAAGAACAGTGACTCCCAGGAAACAGTGAGGCAGCTTCCCATTTTATTACAAATCAGCAACAGGAAGCAAAGCCTGGAGCAACTGAGAGTGATGGTCTATATAATTCTCTTACTTACCAGGGCCAAACCTATAGGGGTGAGATTGGGGGGGGGGTTGGGATATACACTCAGAGTTTTGGGAAGTAAATTTTTTTTAAAAAACTACAACTCCCAGAATCCTGCCATCTGCAGGGGATACTGACCACTGGCTGAGGGAATTGTGAGTAGAGATGTACAGATGGGTGTTCTTGGACTACGACTCCCAGATTCCTGAGATGGTCAGTGCCCCTGATTGTGCCCCTTTGAGGACTGTGGGAGTTGTTGTTGCTTCTCCCAAGTTCTGAGTACAGTCTGGTTGTCCGGAGGAGCTTACGGCGGGCCCCGCTTGCTTCCCCCAGGTGTACGTTGCACCCCAATGATTCACTGGCCATGGAAGGGCCCCTCTCCCGCGTCAAATCCCTGAAGAAGTCACTCCGCCAGTCCTTCCGAAGAATCCGGAAGAGCCGGGTGTCCGGGAAGAAGAGGATTAACGCCAGCAGTCCTTCCAGCAAGGTAAAACGGAGCGGAGGGTTTGAGTCCCGAGTGAGACCCATGTTGGCCCTGACCAGTCCACTTAATTCCAGTGGGTGACGTGGTCCCAATCCCATGTTAAAGCTGGCAGCCTGGACTTTTCAGGTTGGCTTCTCCACCTCCCTTCCTCCTTGGTTTTCCTCCACAATAACTTTGTGAGGGAGGTCAGAAGAGCAAGCAGCCCATGGTCCCCCAGCGAGGCTCGACGGCCGAGCGGGGATATGAACCCACCTCTCCTGAGCCCATCGTTCAGTGATCTACCTCGTGCCAACATTGGGTCACGGTGGCACCTTGAGGCGAAGATATGGTCTCCTTCTGACACCCTCGCCCGTCCACCCCCCAGGTGCAGGAAGCCAACGCCCAGCTGGCTGAGCAGCCCGGCCCCCACGAAGTGGAAATGACCCCGGTTCAGCGGCGGATCGAACCCCGGTCGGCCGACGACTCGCTCTCTGGAGTCGTGCGGTGCCTCTACTTCGCAGACACCTTCCTTCGAGACGGTAAGGGGGGCAGAGAAGGGGGGGACCCCAGGCTGGTGTGTGTGTGTGTGTGTTGTTTCTTGAGGGTTTTGTTATCCCTTTTTGGATCCTCTGTCTCACGCTGCTGGCCCTCTTCCCCCACCCCCTAGCTGCCCATCACGGACCCACCTTGTGGGCTGGGACCAACTCCGGCTCGGTCTTCGCCTACGCCCTGGAAGTCCCGTCGCAGGAGAAGTTTTCGGAGCGGTCTGTGGAAGCCGTCTTGGGCAAGGAGATCCAGCTCATGCACAGAGCGCCGGTCGTCTCCATCGCTGTCCTCGACGGCCGGGGGAACCCTCTGCCGGAACCCTACGAGGTCTCGAGGGACTTGGCCAAAGCCCCCGACATGCAGGGCAGCCATTCGGTCCTCATTGCCTCGGAGGAACAATTCAAGGTAAGCCCGTTATCAGGGGAAGGAAGCCCGTGTCTTTCCCATCTTGCTTTTTGTAGTGAAATGTCTACGTGCAGCTGCTCAGCAATGCGGTGCTTATGCGGGCATGCGCCGTAAGGAAATGCGGGCCGGTGCTATTCTTAGGATCTCTGTAAGTTAATAATAATAACCTCTGAATTGCAGAGCTGGAAGAGACACTTATGTCCAGCCTCTGTCTGGGAGGCCCAGTGGGGGAATCGAACTCCCAACCTCTGGCTCCATAGCCAGAGGCCTTAAACCACGGAGCTATCCAGCGGTGGCCTCCCACATTTTGGAAGAAGGCGGTCCGGAGACGTTAGTTCATTCCGAGCGATGGCAGAAAAACATTGCCCTCCCTCCAAACTGAATTCACGATGATGTGGCGTCATTCCCTGTTTGCAATACGTTCGTTCCTCAATCGGGATTCCTAGTCTAAACTCACCTGAAGCTGCCTGTTTTTTTAAAAATTCAAGTTGCCGACGAGGGAAGGAGCAGGCAACGACTATTATAAATGTGAGGAAGGCGTGCGGGTGGCGGGGGAGCCATTGCGTCCTCCCATTCTCCCTTTGTGCGGAAATGTCGGTTTACAAATATTTTGGCTGAGTCCTAGCGCGCGTGCGCTGTTCTTGTGCGCACCTGGGCAGTAAATAAAGCCGAGGGGTGGCCCGCGAGCTCAGAAGTGAGTGGACGATGTGGGACGGTGTGGCCTGCCTGTAAGGAAGATGGAAGCCAGACATTCTTCTTCAAAAGGTCTAGAGGCGGAGATGATGGGCCGCTGCTGTTTGGGGTGGAAATAACCCCTTCTCTTGCGCGTTCCAGGTTTTCACGTTGCCCAAAGTCAGTGCCAAGACGAAATTCAAGCTGACGGCGCACGAAGGCTGCCGGGTGCGGAAAGTGGGGCTGGTGAACTTTGCCAGCGCCGCCTGCGAGGACTACTCGGAGAACGGCTTGGCCTGCCTCACCAACCTGGGCGACATCCACATCTTTACGGTGCCGGGTCTACGGCCGCAGGTCCATTACGACTGTATCCGGAAAGAGGACATCAGCGGGATTGCCTCTTGCGTCTTCACCAAACACGGGCAAGGTGGGTCTGACCCGCCCTGGGCAGCAGCGCGGGGAGGGAGGCCTGGGGAGGCCAGTGATGCATTTTGGAGAAAAAAAAATCAGAGAGTCATGCTGATGAGTAAATACGGTTTGGAAAGGCATGAGAGCTGCTCGGAGAAAGGAGTGGAAGAGCCCTGTATCTACAGGGCATCCATTCCAAGTCCTTCCACGGATGTAGGAAAACATGGATTTTAGCAAATGCTATACAAGGCATGGTTTCTGGCTCTCTCTAGTGGCCAGTTCTGGTAACTTCATCATTAGAAATAACTATTTCTGCGACCTTTCAATATTTTTTAATATTTTCAGACTGTGGATAAGCGAATCAGTGGATACAGATCCCGCAAAGATGGAATCCTGTTGTACTAGAAACAGGGATTTCCCCCTCCATGCTGTTTGAACACTGAGAGCCAGTGCCTTGTAGTAGATAGACTGTTGGATTCAGATCCTGGAGACTGGGTTCAAATCCTAGGTTGAGATTCTGCTCAGCCGTAGAAACTTACCGGGCTTGGCAGCCGCCGGGGTTAAGTTTCTCATGTGCTCCAGACTCGAAATAGTGGTGAGGATTTACATAATTCAGAAGCGCTTTGACACGGGGGTCGCTCCCGCGCTTGTTCAAGGACCGACCAAGTGTGGGGTAGTGGTTAGAAATTGAACCAGGAGTCGGGAGGCTTGGGTTCCGATCCTTGCTTGGCCATGGAGCTCCGTGAGCGATGTCAGGCCAGTTTGGGAGGGTGTGAGCAGCCCACCTTGCAAGAGTGTTGTGAAAAGAAAGGCGGAAGGACAGAAGAGACACAACCACTCTGAGCTCATTGGAGGGGGGGAAGAGAGAATAGAAAAAGAAATGGCAAGGAATGCAGTATGAATTATAAATGATTTAAATACGTCCAACTGGCTGCTTTTTAATTTTTATTTATTCCTTTACTTTTTATCTACGGTGTTGCTTTCTTCTTCTTCTCGGCTTCTCTAAGGGTTCTACCTGATCTCTCCGTCCGAGTTTGAGCGGTTCTCCCTCAGCACCAGAAACATTACAGAGCCCCTCTGCGTCTTGGACACCAGCCGCATCCATGACGCCACCTCTTTTGGGTGAGAACAGCCCTCCTCTGCTCCTCCTTCCTGCGAGGCTACTGGGAAATCCTTGCTCCCCTTCATTCCGTGAACATTGTTGGGCTGGTCGCTGGTTTCATCAAAGGCAAAGCGGGTTATTTATTCAGGCCGAGTTCTGCAAGAAGGCAGAAGCTGTCTTGTTCGCCTTGGCTTTTGTTTAAAATGAGGCCACGTTGCTAGTCCTTAAGGATGCTCAAGCACTTTAGAAGCCTGTTTTTAAAAATACCGCTTCCTTGTTCTTTCAGGAACAACTTCACAGTAACACCAAAACTGAACCAGGCCAACGGAACGCACGTCCTGCAAAGTTCGGAGGCCAACCATTCCCTCACAAGTAGCGAACGTAAGGACACGTCTCTTCGTATCAGGATGCGGAGCGGACGACAGATCAGTTGGGAGCGGCCATCTGTCCCGATAACCCAAGGAAACTCTTGCCCCGAGTTCCAAACCTGATTTATCCTCCCTCAACCCTTCTAGATTCCCTGGAAACTGGGAGCGATGGGCTCTTCCGCGGTCTCGGACATCAACTCCCATCAGTGCCAGCCAGCTTGGTTAAGAGTAGGGGACCATGGGGGAGGTAGTCCCAAACATCTAGATAGTAGCGTTCTCCCCTTTGCTTCTGTGTTCCTCGTTCAGTTAAATTGCTTTAAAATGTTTTCTTGCTCTATGGGTTTTTAGAAAGCATCTTGACTTTTTTTAAAAAGGAAAATACTTAACGATGAGACATTTTGGAGCAAATTTTGTATTTGTTGGTAACACCCTGTCTCTTTTCTAAGCATCCTGATGATACGAAAGCGGGTGGAGATAAAAGACCTCTGGCTATGAATGTTCTTGATGGGGTCGGCTCTTTTCCCACATCTCTTGCTCCTTTCCAACCCAGGCTCTCCGGAAGACCACCAGGCCTCTTTCTCGGTGACCCCTGTCGATTCGCCAAACAACAGCATTGACACGCCTCTAGATACGACCGGAGACATCACAGCCGAGGAAGTGAAGGATTACTTGGCGTAAGTCTCCCATTTTAAATTCTCGTACTATGCAAGACTATTCAAGACATGGCCGTGGGAAATACAATATAAAGGGGTGTAATTAGCCGGGATATTGAAAGAGAACCTCCTTTGCTAGGAGCAGTGCATCTCTGTTTGGGAAAGGCCATGAGACCGAAGACAACTGAGATCATGTCTTGCTTGAGCTTTCCTGGAAATGTTGACTCAGGACTGAACGGGAAGATGGTTTTGGGTTGTCTGGAGATTCCGGTTTCCCTCTTGAGCCGTGCATCCTTGTTGCGTTCTCTTGCAGGCCCTCGGAAGAAACGGAGAGAAACTTGAGGAATATAAACGAGGACGAGACTCGATCCCCGGGAATCCTCATTAAATAAGGTGCAGACTTGGTGGTGTTTTTCACTGGGGAGATGGGGGCACATAAGCAGAGGCTGTGTAGCCATCTGTTGGGGTGCTGTGGCTGACTTATGCATCAGCAGGGGAGTGGAGATATGTTAAATGAAGGGCAGGAGAATCATAATTTAGCACAGCCTGTGTCCTATTTGGAATATGGACCTAATTCACGATTCCTTCTACAGAGATGGCCCCAGAGGTGGACACCCGGAACTGGCCTTCTCAGACAAGACTTCGGATCGTCACAGACCTCTTAGCCATACCTCTCCGGCTCCTTCCAGAGAGCGCCCGTTTGGATTTTCATTTGCAATAAAGGAACATCGTGGTTGACCTCTTAAAACACTTTGAAGCGGACCAAGACAGGGGTTTTTTTTGAAGCTGGATTCGTTCCGAACGGTCTCTTCTTCGGGCCTTTCCTCGTTTGCCTCCCGTCCTTCTCCTGTTTTGGAAAACGTTTGCCGTATACCTGTTGGGCTATGGTGCGTCTATTCTTCTACTGCACAAAAAGGCACGTACTGTAACCTTGGGGTTGTTTCTTTTTTCTTTTTTTGGCGGAGGGATGAAAAACCAACACAAAACTATGTGCATTTGAGTTGTGGGGAGTGAACCACAAATGGGTTTCAGATCTGACTGGAAATGGTGTTGCATCAACTGGAGAGGCGAGGAAAAGGGCTTTTATACACAGTATTTGGACGACTTTCTTTTTGCTGGATCCACCGGCCAGCTTCCCAAAATCTTTCGGGACTATCCGAGAGGCACTCCCTCCTCTCTCTCTCTCTCTTTTTTTTTTTTGCTGGCTTTGACCTTTGTTTTGGTGGAGATGTTTACACTTTCGAATCCTCTTTGCCTTTCTGATGGCTTCAAACACTATTCCCCGCATCCCACATTGCCTGGTTGGCTGCCAGAGAAATTTGTACTTGATGCACAATACAGACCTTTTTTAAAGCCAAAAACTGGACTTGAAGAAATGCTTTTGGGGGTCTCTCTCTCTTTTTTTTTTTTTGTAACACTGTTAGGAACCCCCCTTTGCCCTCCTCAAATTGCTGACTGATCTGAAGGATTCTTTTCTGTTAAGTCACAGAGACTGAGAGGGTTTATTTTGACTTACTCCCCCATCCCCTCCTGCAGCTGGGTACATGTGACAGAAGAGTCTACCAGGGAGTGGCAAGACATCTATCTGTTCATTGATGTGATACAAAAGCTTCTCTCTGTGTGGCTAAAATGGTCACGATCCGCCCGGCGGACGACGTCTGCTTCATGTCGAACAAGAAACGTTCAAGATCCCTTTCTCTTTTTCAGGTTTTGTATTGACCGGTTTTGAAACGCTCCTTTTTGGGCAACTGTGAATTTTAAGGAGGAAGCCCAGCTCCTTCAGTCCAAATTTCTCTGTATGCTCTGTAACAATGCTGTGGCTCTTAAGGAATCTCGCAGACACAGTTGCCCATGGGTACGACTTTACCAAGCTCAAGAGGCGGGCCGCTTGTGGCCGTCCACGTTGAACTGCTGTGCCTGTGATTTCTCCCCACTGGCTGTGCCAGTTGGAGCTGATAGGGGCTCAGACGTCTCACCCCGTGACCTAAGGGAGTCAGCGGAGCTTGGTGTAATATGTTCCAAGTGGACATCTTCCTTCTTAAAATTCTGGTTTGCCAGTGATGTGGGGTGCAAGTTCCCTAGAAGAGGGGTGTTCACGTCTTGAGTGACGATCAGCTGACCATCCTTTCAGAGGACCAACAAGGGGACGGAATCAGCTCAGTTTCTCAGCTTTTGTTCCTGGTCCTCTGCCTGACGGGCCTTGGAAGCAAAGTACTCATGTGGGAGAACCTTCACCAGACCCGTACGCGAGGAGGGGTGGGCCGGTGGCAGCCTCCGTAACTCTGGTCAGACCTTCCACGATAGCTGATGGTCAGGAGGGCTGGAAGATGCCGCTTCACAACCTTGGAAGGGTTGCACCTCTTCGGCCGCCCCTCCGCTTGACATTTACACCGACATGGCCTTGGGCGCCCACCCTTCCACTCCGACTGGACTGGCGGTTGAGATGAGTGCTTACAAGGGACTAGTGTCTTGAGTTTGGGGAATTGGAACCCAAGCAGGTGGCTAACGACGCCTGGGATTTTTCGAGGCCTGTGATGTTTCGTTTACGCCTCTGTTGAATCCTCTGGCCAGCCCCTTCGGTTCTCCTTGAAGCGTCTCGGCGCATCCGTCCTTTTCTAGTCCGACTGCAAAGGTGCCATCCGGGGGGGGGGCAGCCTGGGTTTCCCACCTCTTTCGGTGCTGTGATCCTTCATCTTGCTGCGCCTTATCAAACCGTCAGGGTTTCTTTGACGCCTTTTATTTAATAACCCAGATCTTGAAGTGGCTTTCCGAGAAACAGCTGCCTCCAAACCCCGTCGGTTGGTGATCTGAGCCTGTTGCTCTTAGCAGGGCGGATGCTGGCCGGACCCTCTTAAACCCTTCCTTCCTTCCTTCCACCCATCATTATCTCCTCCCTCCCTCCCTCCCTCCCTCCTTCCTTCCTTCCTTCCTTCCTTCCTTCCACCCATCATTAGCTCCTTCCTTCCTTCCTTCCTTCCTTCCTTCCTTCCATCTTGCCCTGGTTCCCTGCTTCTCCTTTCAGGCATATTTTGTTTCTTGTTTAAATAAAACATATGTCAAGCAATCAACCGCCATAGCAAACGTAGGATGTTCACCCTGGTTGTCTCAGATTTCTCTGA